CAAAACTATATATATATTTTCATTACCCCCTAATGTTCTCATTTTTATTAACTGGGTTCCAAACTGATGCTTCCCTTCGTTTGTGTAGCGTATCATTGATGAAGAGTGCGTAACAAACAAAAAACAATAAAACTAACAACAAACAATCAGCTCAGATAGTCGTTGAGGTTTTTGTGGTTTTGTGAAACTAAACAGGCCTTAAATATTCATGAAGAACTGCCACAGCACACAAACCCCCCCCACACACACACGAACCAATGACGTCTATGATGAACCTCTATAAAACATCTATTACCTCCCGGTTACGCCCATAGATATCCTTTATTACCTTGTTTTTGCCCATTGAAATGCCATGTAATACCATTGTTTCAAATCAAGAAACAAGAAAAAGGAGGAAAAAAAGGAATAGGAAAATGAAGCTATTGCCAACAATATGAAAGAAGGTTAGATCACGGCTAGACTTAATTCTTGTTAAGTACAAGAAATGTATTCAACATTTACGAGTATTGAACTTTTGTTAGGACATTTTCGCGTGATAAGTGTTTTTATTGGCGGCCCTTAATCGGAAATGAAATCTTTTTCAGCTTCCAAGAGTGTTGGGATAACAAGTCGTCTGTCCGTCTGTCTGTCTGTTTGCCATCTATCCATCCCAACAGCCAACCAGCCAGCAATCCCGTCAGACATAAAAACAGAAGACATTGTCCTCGTATACATCTGTTTCCATTGTGGATGGAAATTGATGCCATTTTACGAACGTTGTCGTTGTCCTGCTGTAACAACAAGTACAAATTGAAATTGATACAATTTCTTGTTTGTGGCGGATCGAATCAACCTCTTCAATTGGATATTATGTTCTCTTTTGTATTCTTAGACAAAGATTTGGACACCTCCTTGGCCCTCCTCTCACTTGTTAGGAAATGTTTGTCTCTGTGTTTGTGTGCGGCAAAGATTGTCACAAGAAAGACGTGATTTTATACGAAGTTAACCTCCAAATGTTCATCCTGACCACATTCATTTAAATGCCTTTACTTTATAGCTAAATAGCCGGTAGGATCCTACACAGCAGATTGCAATCATTGAGAGGCTAGTTGTTGACTTCATTATCAACCACCCCCTCCTCCCTCTCATTGTTGTTGACAGTTATGACAGTAGAGATAAGGCTTCCCCTCCTCCTACTAAGTGTAGCTGTTAATTTGATTTAAATTTGACTTTGTATGTGGCAAGTGGAGAAGTGTAATTAGGTTTCTGGTAGCAAAACCGCTGTTCTGTTGTCTTAGTTGCCTTGGCAATGTATCCTTGATTCGTACACCCCTTCCCTCCTAAATTACCTTGTTGCAAAGGCAACGGGAAATGGCTTGTGCTGATGGTAAACATTCTATGACGTTCTTCCTCTTTACCTTTTCGTTGGCTTGTAACGTAATCTGGATATTCTCTTGCGGTTTTTCAAGTAGTTACGAGTACCAGACACAGTGACCTAAACAAGAAAAGTTTTTGATAAAAAAAGTTAGAGGTAGTTTTTTATGTTTGTTTGTGGGAAAATGTAAAACTATGTTAAAATTGGATTTTGTTGTGTAGTTTTGTCAGTTCATCTTCTGGATGTCAGGAAATAAATATCAGATGAAGTGTTGAAAATTGGGTGTGAAGTATAATTGTTTGTCATGTCATAGTTAAAAAATAGGTTAGCATATTAAAGACAATTTTTTTAGACATTTTTATTTTATGCAAATGAAATTAAATGAAGGTAGGAAGCCGCAGCATTGATTATTAAATTTCCCTATCTTTATAATATAATAATTACGTGTATGTTCGTGATCGCTAAACTCAAAAACTAGTTTGGAGTGAGGAGTGTTTCTGTGTAATTTGAAGTTCGCCCAACAGATGGCGCAATATTCTGTCATGACTTTTCGACGGAACCAGACTTGTAGTGAAAATAAAATTAATAATTAAAAGGATAGATAAGAGATAGACTGGTGGCCGAATTACAGTAATTTCGTCTAGATCCTCGACGAGACCTTCATATGGGGACTATGCAAAATCATGATAAAATATAGAGCCTTTATTGTGAGGAGGTCTATTACTTTTCGATAACTTTAAATGCTAAATTACAGTCAAATTGATTGGAATTTGGAGGCTGTGGTCTTGAAAAAAGGGTATATTGAACGGCGACTCAAAATCGAACTCTAGGTGAGTATATTAAGAATTCTGAAGGAAAAAATTTTCTATTGGTCAAATTTTTAAGTTATGGAGGGATGGATTTTTTGCTGGTAACTTAGAAGTCCGAGAAGAAAAATCTCACTTTTTTGTATGCGGCTTTTTTAGGTTATTGGTGTTCGATTATGTGAAGATGAATTGGGTAAAAGTGGAAAAGAACTATGAAAAAATGCGCATATCGACTTCTCGTATTTGGGGACCTTATATAAAATATTATGAGCGAAATTTTTGTAGATTATTGAAGATTCAAAAAGTTCGTCTTGAGGTTTTCAAACAAAACAATAATAGCGATGAAAAGAAATTAAGGATGAAACACACACAAGGACTCCAGATAGAAGGAGGATAATCTTCATTCGATTTGACTAAAAGCATGACATCTCATAAATTTGATGCAATATAAGTAGGTGGGCCCTGGGGCCCGGCCCGAGGATAAAATATTCTTCATTAGATTTGACAGAAGTAGCTGCATTATCTGGATATAAAAATGACAAAGGTTTTTCTCCATGCACTTTAGATTTACCAGGAAAAGATTTATGACGCCATCACTCAAAAACTTGACCTGTTGCAAATTTATTCTTCTGGATTTCTTATAGAAACCCCAAAGGACTTTCATTCCCATAAGAAATTTTCAACGACACTTGTTGCACAGTGTTATAGTGTTCTATGAATTTGAAATTATATTGAAAATAACCTGCAAGGTCAGAAGCTCCTTTATGTAAAGTTTATGCCAGCATTTGATTTTTTTCTGCCAGTAGGTCCCCCATTTTTAGAAAATCTAAAAGGCCAGTTGGTTAAAACTTCAAAATACCGATTGTGACCTGTGCAAAGCAGTAAATATTAGGAGTAGGTGGAGAGTAAAATTTGCAGGTTGCAAAATTCAGAAATGACCTCCATCAAATGAGGATGGGACTTTATATAGGAGCTATGTCAAACATAATCTAATTTGTTTAACCATCAACAACGCGAAATAGTCAATTACATACATTTCGGTTGGAACGTGCGCCTTGGACCATAAAAATATATAAAAATGGACTCGAATGAGCGCTATGTTAAAACATGGATCTGAATTGAAAAATTACTGTGGACACCCTTTTCAACCACAAAGACCCAGAATGCCAAATCATCTGCTTAGTTGGAAAAAACTGAGTATCTTAAAAATTCCTTGGGTGGGACAGGAATTTTAAACATTTTTTTAACAAACCTCGTAAAGATGCCTTCCTCTAGTTATAATGGCTAGTTTTTCTCTCTTGTGAATATTAGCTTAATTTATTTCTCTTACATTTGAAAAAAAAAAATTAAATACCCCAATGAAATTAGAATTTCCATAATTTCGACAATACCCGTTGGTCCATAGTTTTTATAACAATAAAAAATTCTTTAGTTGTAATGAAATTTTTCCCATGGAAATTCTAAATAGCGCCATTCAACTTGAATATTTCATTTTTTTTATTTCGTGGTTACTCTCCTAATGACAGAGAAGAGAATTCGGTGGTTTTTTTATGTATGTGTGTATGGTTGTGCTGGCACTCATCTATGAGTAGTGGTCCTCCATTGACAAGTAACAGCAGCAGAAGAAGTGGAAAACATTGTAACTATGAACATTGTTGTTGTTTTTTGTTGTTTCACATCGAATAGTTTTTTCTTTGTTGGCTGTTGATTGGCAGTTTTATGGCTGGCAATGCCTTTGGATATGTTTGCGAGAAAAAATCGAAAAGTTTAGTTTTTTTTTGGTTGCTGTTGCCACTCTCGTTTGTTGTGCATTTAAATTGTTTTCATTAAAGTTTTTCCAAAGCCAATTATTGTTCATTTATTTGATACTAAAAAATAAAACGGGCAGAGGAGAAAAAAGTAATTTAAACTATCTAAGTGAATTTTATTTATTTTTTTTAATTGTAACTTTGGGACTATTAATTAAATGCTCAGATTAAAAGGATTTATTTTTCTTTGGTATACAGAAATCAAAATATATTATTTTTCTCTCGTAATTTTTATTTTATTACAAGTTATCAAATAAAAGACATTACTATACTTCAATATTGCCTAACCTAATATATTTCCCTATTAAATGTCCATTTCAGGACTAAATTGTCCTTTTTGTCATACATCGTGCGAATCAGTAGGAGTCCTTTTAACGATATGTTTTTCTTTGTTTGTTGTTTTGCTTTTTATTTTCATAACAAAAGCTATTGGATTTTTTACCAAATAAAATTGAAAGAAATTCCGACACATCCTGCTGTTGTATACGTGCCTGAAATATGAAAAAACACCGAAATTTCTTATGAAAAAAAATCATTGCCATGAAGAATAAGTTGATTGACCTCAAATCAAAGATAGAAACAAATCAAATCAATGTTTATGTGTAAAAAATAATGGAATGTAACAAAAATATAAGTTTTGTTTTAGGAATCACAAACTTGATTTTCAAAATAAAAGAGTTTTTATATAGCAATAAGGAATAAAAAAGTTTTATTTACATCTTGATTATGCGTGGAGTTCAATAGTTTTTTATGTTAATAAAAAAATCAATGTAGTGTGACAAATCTAGTTTTGAAAACTACGGCACAGGACCCATATACGAGTTCTGAACGTTTTTAGGTAGTTTTAATGAGCACCTCAGGATGGAGGTCATAAACAAATCGTATAAGGTTTCCGACGATTTTAGTTCATTTGGTTGGAGGTCATAAAAAATATCTTTATGATTTTTACTTGTTTATTGTTTATTAAAAATTTATATATTTATTTGAAAGTGTCGGATTATTCTTTAAAAATTCATATTGTGATTTGTTCTTCTACAAAAATTCCACTTTAAAAGCTCCCTTGCCATAGGGCTCCGCTGCATTTGTTTCCACATAGTAAACACCATCCTTGGCTGAATATTTTAAATCACCCATTCTCTCCGCTAGCCAACGGCAACTTGTCAAATCTAAAATCGTATAACTGGGACATTTTAAAACCAACAATTCTTGGTTTTTAACCGGCAACCACATTTCTGTTATAAGCTCATAAGCACGAATATGAGAACATGACACATCCTTCACATCACAGCCAGGTTGTTGTACACCACCATTGGGATAATAATCGACATGACCACAAGGTGTGCGAAAACCCAAATAGCCAGCATTGGTGTGTACAACTTCAACAAAATCAGCATCATCGGCGGTTAGACGTTCATCATGGGGTGTGGATTCGTTAAAGAAAACACCAGCCGGATCTAGAGCAGTTATGCGTGCTAATTTTTGTTGTACACGCTGATGGAGGCTGTGCCCGAGTACCCCACTTATTTGTGCACCCAAACTAAAGCCAACTGCATGCAGTTGTTGGAGATCTAAATTGAAACTATCATGTAGTAGGTAGACTAAATCTGCTAGGGCTTCTGCAATTTGCGGAACTTTTAAGGCACCTGCTGCAAGATCGTCAGAATTTTCAATTACCTCACTGTAATCGACAACAATAACATTGCCATCTTCCAGCTGCAATTTTGCGTTCTTTACCAAATTGTTCATTGGGTGATCTTTATTATCCGCAATACCATGAATGGACAAGCTGGGAAAGAGAAATTTGGATTTTATTAGTTAAATTTGGAAGTATAGTCGAAATTCAAAAGTCCCGAAAAAATTTTCCCCTATAATTTTTATATGGCTTATAGCGACATAATTTCGAATAAATAACAATCGAAATAGATTATAACAACAGTCAAGAGAACGGCAAATTTGGTGGCTATTAAAGATAGTAACTGTAAGCGGTATCATATAACGTGCAGAACTTTTTGTGGTACTTTCGGATAACGTCGATAGAAACTACTTACGTTGTCGGTTTCGTGGGATTCAGAACATTTCGTATCACTGACTCTACATTTGCCTCCAAAGGTTGTGGTATATCGGGATTTTGCCTTGTGTAAACATAATATTTCACAGAATCTTTTACATTCGCATGGCCAACAACAGCTGTATGAATTCCAGTGGGAAATACTGCAAATAATGCCAGCGGGAAAATAATTCCCGACATTGCTCCGCAGTGAATGTTCATGGTTTCGATTTAAGTCGAATACTGTTTTGAAGAAATATTCTCAGACGTAAAAATGATTGGGTCTTTCGTGAAACGTATTGGCCATTCATTGACAAGATAAGATAATTCAACAAATAATCTAATAAATTGCATTTACGGAATTATTTATGGTGTGGGATATAAGGCATATCGAACCGTGATGTATTATTTTTTATTATTATTTTTTTTTACATTTAAAGATAAAATTTAAAGGGGTAAAGTAAAGGTTTAATATTTACAAAAACATTTTTAGTCATTGATTTGTCATGGTTTCGAACAGTTATTGAAATTTTTAGAAAAAGAGATCGGGTTTGATGGATGAAAGTTTCTATGAAAATAAAATAAGCTTCGAGATCAAACATTTTTACTGATCTTTTTTCATGGTCATCAGCAAACAATATATCTTATTAACACTAACCTTTGATGAATTTGTTCTTCTGGGATTCTTATATTCTAAACAAGGGAAATTTTCAATACACATCATTTTGGTGTTTTGATTTTTACAGAATATCTGATTAATTTATAAGTACGTCTTTTATAAATTCAGAACTTTATAAAATCACTTCGAGTTTCACCAACTTTAATCTATTTCATAAACACATTTTCTCTTTCCGAACCTTTCGTTAAAAAAAATAATTTCCAAAATATACACCATGGCATCCTTAACGGATATGAAGTAAAAAGCCTGGCAGCCAGAAAAACCATCCTTTGGCTGTAATCAAATACCGAACGGAAATTAATATCACACAAGAGAATGCCAAAAAATGAAGACGATGAAAACAACAAAAATGTGACAACACAATAACGAAAATGCTCATAACTTGTTCAATGTACGCACCACATTTACAAATCACAAGGACATTCGTCCTTAATAGGCCCAGAAAAAAATCAATAACAGAAATTGAAAGAATAATTCCTATTTTTTCTTCTACTCTATTTCTATGAAAAATTGCAATTTTCTGACAATTCTTTAAAGGAGTACTTTTTGTTGCTGTGTTTCTTTTTTTTTGTAATTGAATGCATTCCTTGTTAATCGTTTGAAAATACACACAAAATTGATAATTAAATTAACAGACAACTATTAAACCGCCTGCTGTCTGATAGTAATTAAATACCAGATTAACACATGATTGCACACTCACACACAAACACAGTCAAACCTCTCTTACATTGACTCACTTACAACTTCGATTGGAGAAGGATCAGCCTTTATATAAAGGTTCCTTTTTCAGAGGTTTACAAGGATTGAAAGCTCTTACAGTAACATTAGGTCGAATTGGCTATAGGTCAATTTTTGGGTTATGGTGGGATTGCATATTATTCGTCCATTTTTCGATAATCGTAAAATAAGTACTTCAAGCCGATATTTTTTGTTCGGAAAAACTATTCTTGATCGGAAAAACTTATATTTACGAACATTAATACATTTCGAATAAATTCAACGGTTCGGAATTATCTAAAATATTTACCATGACTAACCATATTGTTTTTGGTAAAGATCGGTTAATATTTAGGAGATGAATTGGACCAAATGCTTCATTTTTGCCTGATTTTCTGGTCACTCTAAAGGAAAGGGGATCGGGCCAAAGAGTAAGAAGCATGCCTGCTTCGAAAAAGATAGGTCAATATTTAGCGGGTCCAATGGACCCTGACTTTTGTATTCTATAGCGTATATATTAATTCCTGAAGGACATAGACCGGAGAAGTAGATAGTATATCAAAGAGGAGTAGTTGAGGGCGGAAATATAGTGCTGATCGCTTGAAAAATTTCCATGAGAATCCAGGTATGGTGAAGGACAACGCCTATAATTTTCGGTGATGATCAGATAATATGATGAATATGATGAAGTGGACCGAATATTTATTTTTTTGTGTTTTTTCCAGTCGAACATCACAACGCAAGCCACGTTGAAGGGAATCTGGGCAAGTAATTAGAAGGGCTGTACTGAATATTAATAATATTTGTTGACCTCTAGTCGGTCAAGAGGGTGCAAATATCGTGAAATATTATCAACGATCAGAATATAGAACCACAGAAAGTGAGATTTTTATGGAAGTTGTGTAGGTATGACGGCCCGGTCCGACTATACTGATCCGTTCACTGGTTAGATATTAGTTGTCCCTAACCTTTCAAAGTCGCTTTTATAAATGTTACTATATGGTCATTAGTTGATAAACTGTAGAATATTCTTGTAAAAATACAGTTTTTGCAAGCAAATTTTTTTCAATAATTTCAAATTCCTTAAAAAAAACTTTTTTTGAGCTAAAGAAAAAATATATCCCCTTTGAAGAGAATCTACTGTATATATTTTTCTGGTTTGAATTCATGACGGTGCAAATAACTGGTTTTTCATCGCTTAAGAAAACTTATGCAGGTCAATTTGAAAACAATTTTGAAAACAAATCTAAAAAACCTATGTTAAACACAAATTAGCTGGCTTAACAGAGTGATATCAAACATGTGAAGTGTGTCTGTCTCTTGAGAAAAAATCTATTGTTTATTTTTTTATAATTATTTTAACCTTTAACGCTGCAACGAATGCAAGTCAGCGCTTAAGTGAATTTTGAAGTTAATAACCCCAATTGTGGAGGTAGCAACAATTTCATGGAAATGAAACTACTTAAAAATGTGTAAATGTTACTACAAAACCTATTGTTATGGACCGACTAAAACCCCACAATAACGACTTCATCACAATTTTCCACACAAAATATGAATTCATTATTCGAATAATGTTGAATATGTATTAAATTAAAGTATTGAAAAACTTCAAAAACATTGAATTTTAATTAACAACAAATTGGATTTATTATCTGAAAATTCATGGATCGGGATCCGTTTCACGCGGATAAATGTTATCAATATGTTTGGCATAATGACACCAATATTTCAGCCCAATCTGACAGTTCTTCAAAATCTACAATTAATACGAAATTTATTAGTGATTTTCTGATCAAGGATCGTATTTCAAGTTTAAAAGGACGATGAAAACACAAGGACTCTAGATAGAAGGGGAATAGGTTCTACAAAAACATTCCTCATATGATTTGACTAAAGACATGCCACCTCGAAATTAACCTGCAAATATATAAAGGGTTTTCTTCATACACTTTAGAGTTACTAGAAAAAAAAACATTACGTCAAACTCAAAAAACTTGAACTGTCCCGACTTTGTCCTTCTGAATTCTTAATACACTTGCCGAGAGCTTTCATACTCAAAAATGAATTTCCAGACCATGAGCTCGTTTATGTGTCACAGTGTAATTAAATTAAATAAAGTAAAAAAATCGTTGAGAAATTTTTACAATAAAAATTGCTTTTAATCTTTGTCTACGAGATGTGAGGAAAATTTATATAAATTTATACAAGTGAAACATAACAAATTGTAGACAATTAATATTCTTCAGAACTTGTGTACGATGAAAGGGCTTTTGAAAGGCCAAGACAAATGACAGCCTAAACATAGTTTACATACACACGTATATAAACAAATATTCTCTCCTTAAATATAATTTCAATAGACATTCGCAATTAAATCTATAATAGCCGAAAGGAAATTTTAAGAGGTGTCATATGTAAGCAAAACAAAATTTCTAAAATTTTAAATATTATTGCAAATAATATTTAAAGATACATACAAATTATTTTAAAGTCAATTTGAATTATTAACATTTCATTATTGTTGTTTTCTTCTTCAACCGCTCTCTTATTATTGCTACATTGACTTTCTGTCACTCTTGTCCCAAGATAAAATGAAAACCCGCAGCTACACAAAGCTCATAGAAAAATAATAATAAAAAACACCAACAACGGAATTCTATTCCATTTTGTTTTATTTTGTACTTTCCATTTCTACAATTGTGTGGCTCTTTTAAATGGATGTAAATCTGCAGATAATAGCTCCGTATCTGTCTGTGTGCGAGAGGACATCTCATGGAACGTGGTCGTTTTTTAAAGCATTTTTCCCCTGACGTGTTTTTGTGCAATTTAAGCAATAGATGGAAATCGATTCTGACTTTTTAAAAAACACACTCACACGCAAGCAAGCTAAAAGTGAGGAAAACAAATAAACACTCTGCACGCACACAAAACAAAATGCTTAAACCCCAAAAAAGCTTAATAAAATCACACCCCTCCCTCTGTCAAAAGTAAAGTTGTCTTGAAGCGAATATTGCAGTCATAAAACGCAAACATGACTTAATGGCTTTTGCTACAAACGCATGTGAGGACAACTTGCAACTTCTGTTCAAAAGCAAAAATTCTTCTGCTGATACAGCGATTTTTAGTTTACATCACAAAGAAATAATAACGAAAGAAAAAATGAATCATAAAACTCATAAATATGCATAAAAAACAATGAAATCTTTGGTATTGAAAATCCATTTGGGCGACGAAATAGGAGTAATTGTCCAGAGGGAGTTTGGTGTGAATTGCAAATAAATTTCATTATTTTATTGTTGCTGACTAAATATTTTATTTGGTTTCATTTTATGTTAGCTATTGTTTATTATTTGTTATTAAAAAAATAAATATGCTTTGAGGATTATCCTGTATATTGTTTGATATTCCGATTTGTTGTTATGGTGTATATATTCTGGATCAGGATAAAATTCTATGTCGATTTAGAGCCTGCAATATTTAAAATTGAAATTTGTTATTTGAAGTTCTCATTGGGTGGGCATTATCAATATTGGTCCAATTTTTAGGGAGACCTCATATAACAGTAACTTCCAAACATCCATACCTAATGCATTTCCATTGGGTCTTCTTATCAAAATTATGAATATTTATTATTTATTGAAAACGCCACTTACTTTTATATATGGCGTTTTCATTGGGGATCAAGTCAAGTCCCGATCGTTTTTAGGTATATATTTGAATGTGCACCACATAGTGTAGGGCGCTCAGAACTTTTTTGTTGTAACTGTTGTTTTTGTAGTCGAAGTGGCTGCTCTAATTAGTAATAGTGTGGTATTTGATA